AACCCTGGATTTCTTGGGAGAGCCACTTTCTTCTGGGTGGCTACAATGGGGGTGGGGCATTTTCCTTAAAGTTGAGGTCTTAAGGAATTGGAGCAGTCTGAACCCCCGACCCATGACACCTGCTGGAAGATGCAGCGAGACTCCCTCACCAGATGCCAGAATGTAGGTGTGTTCACTTTCAGGGGAAGTGGGTCCAGCTTCTGTAGGGGTCCAAGTTTTATCAGGATGAAGACCAGCAGTAAAACAGGGGGAAAGGAAAGGGGACAGGCAAGTCAGATCCCCCCCACCAGCCTGCCCAGGGGTCCTGGGTGGTGGCTGAGGGAGGACTTAGTTTAGGTGTGGGCTTTCTAGCACAAAAAGAGGAGGCTGTTTTCACATTCTTCTCAGAAGCATGTCTCTTGAGGAGGAAAAAAAAAAAAAAAAAAAGAGGTTTCTGATCCTTTCTGTCCAGCAGTGGATATATGCCCATTTGTGGGCATCCCCTGGCTCTCCCTGGCCACACGGGGGCTAAGTGTCAAGAGAGGTCCTTTCCCTGTGGCTGGGACAGGAGGGCTTCCCTAGTAGGTGCCTGGCCCCCTCCCTTCCCCAAACCCAGAGAGCACAGACCATCCAGCCATGCTGCAGGGCTGGCTGAGAGACAGGCTRCAGGCTGCCCTCCCCAGCCTAGTCTCAGCAGGAAAAACTGACCTAACATTTTTGCCAGCACAGCTTGGTGAGCCTGGCAAGCCCGGGTGAAAGAAGAAGGGCCCAGGAAGGGCGGGTGTGTGCATACCCAGTCCCCATGACACTCCCAGGTCTCTTCCCTTTCTTCTTTCCTCTATTCAGTAGGGGTTTCTGATCCCAGTCCAAGTCCGTCCGCAGCAGTCTGTGGGCCTGTCCTTGGTTCACAGGTGAGTAAACAGGCAACCTCAGTGCCCACTGCTCCTGCCAGACCATGCCCTGCCTCTCTGCCCCACTTCGTTTTTGCCATTGTCTGCAGACCAGTGACAGTCCCAGGCAGCCTCGTTTCGGCATCAACTGCCTGCCAGGCGCCCAGGACCCAGGGGTTTGGGGCTCAGCCCCGGGCCAGGGCACAGAGCTGGCTTGGTCCGGATTTTCTGGAATCAAGATTTCGCTTTCTGCAACTGTTGGGCGTTTCTACCAAGCAAGTGCCCAGGAGCCTCCGGAGCGAAAGACGCTCTCGGTGCTTTATATTTCCTACTGTCCCTATAACGATCTAGAGAATCCAGGGAAGCGCGGGGCGTGGGAGGATGGGAAAGTCACCCTCTTCAGGCTTTCTTTCAAGAAAGCTGGATCCGGAGCCAGGCACCCAGCACTTTGGGTATGGCAGCCTGGCGCTGGGGTTCCATTTGCAGCACCAGCGTCGGCGCCACTAAGTACTGGGTATGTGGACGCCTGCTTCCCCTTTGTGCCCTCCCAGCCCCTCTTTGTGCAGCTGGTGCACAAACGTGGAGGAGAGTTCTGCGTAAGCGGGTGGCTTGCGGGCTTGCTCCCGGTCCCCGCTCTGGGTGGAAGGGAAACGGATTTGAGGGGCTAGAGCTTCACGGTCCCTTAGAGGAGAAACAAATGTCCGATGTTCGTTGGTCTCACTGAGAGGCGAGGGCGGCGGCCATTCTCGGCAGAAGGCCGAGGAGCACCGCAAGCCTGGTGCAGGGCCCAGGGCCCAGGGGCAGCTATAATTGGCACCCCAGCTCCGCTAACTGTGCCCGGAACCTCGGCYTCCTCAGAAAGCAAGCCCTCTCCCAGAAGGAGGAGGAGACCAGGGCTGGACCTCAAGCATATTTTAGAGACTTCCAGAAACAGCTCCTAGAGATTCCTGTTGGGGAGACTTAGGAACCTCCAGCCCTTGGGTGGCAAGCTTCATCCTACACCCCCCTCGGCTTTTGGATGGTGCCCATTCTTGAGCATCACTCTTCCCCGAAGTATTTTCATTTGGGGGCCTGCTTTGGGTGGCTCCACACCCTCCTCTAATTCCCGGCTCCTTGTTCCTTTGGTTCCCCCCACCCAAACACCTCCCACCTCTCTTTTCCCTGAAATAACCTAGCAACGCCACTTCCTCCCTGACTCAGCCTGACAGTACAGCCTGGAGCCCCTGGACCACAGCCACAGACAGGCCAGGTCTGCCGCAGAGAGCACTGCTTGGGGGAGTTTATGTTACAACTAGAATCGGAGAGCACAAGAGAGCACAACTGAGCACAACTGAAGTCCAGCACCTTGGGCTCATCTAATGCCAAGGCTATCTATCAGAGGCAAAGTTCCCCAAGAAAATAAAACAATACTTGTCAGGACACCACCTAATTGCTTTTCGTGGGACAGGCGGAGAAATCAACCTGGGATGGCTTCGTGGGGAGCACACAGCTCTAGGTCTTTCCTCCACAGTGCACTGTCAGGAGACCTTCCCTGGCCGGGTGATTACAGTCCTATGAGTTGGCAGAACCCCCCCCCCCCAGTCTAAGCATGTGTTATAGATGTTCTACACATCCTGACGAGCTCCATTTTCCTAGAGGCAAGTCGAGTTATGGGGTTTCATTTATGTAACACCCAGGGAGTATGCCTATGAGGCATGTGCCTAGCCAAAAACTCTGGGAAAGACCGCTCCAGTGAGAAAAGTGGAGAAGCAGGAATGGAAGTGGAGGTCACCTCAAGAGAAGAGTGAGGCACCTATCTACATCCAGAGCCCACTCACCCACAGGCCACCTTCAGAGTCGGGGACCCAACACAGGACTTCCACTCATCAGCCCCTATGGGAGCAGCACTTTGGGAACTGTTGCTTCCTGCCCCACCCCTGCCAACACCCTGAAGCCTTCCTGTGGGCAGAGTGGGTGCAGACTGACAGTTGCTGGGTGTGGGCTTGAGAAGAGCAGGGCTAGGGCACAACTCTCAAGCCTGATCRGGGCCCTGCAGGTCTCACTGCCTGGCATGGGGGCTACTTGCCCCATCCTCGCCCTTCACTTAGGGCCTGTCAGCTTCCTGCTGACTGCCCCAGCTTGGAACTCTGTTAAGGTGGGCACCCAGGGCCAGTCCACCCTGAGAAGCCAGGCTGGGGTCTCCCTCTGCTGCCCTCCCGATGCTGGTCCACCCAGAGCACTTTCATTGTACTGGCACTCCTGCACCCTCAGAGCTGCCATTTTCCATGTTTCTCAAAGTTCACAAATTTCCATAAAAATACATTTTAAATGATGGACAGGCGAGCCTGAGCTAACAGGAGTGTTCGRTGGGGAGAGAAGAGCAAACAGGAAGGCGCCCGAGGGAGGAGGGGGAAGAGAAGAGGAAAAAGCAGTGTGAGTTGAACCTTCGGACAGCAGCCGGAGGGAGTTTAGAAGGGGATAAAGAAGAAAGCAGGGAGACAACCCGGCCCCGCCCTGCCATCAGATTCCTAGTCTCCTTTCAAATTGACCCTACTTTCCTGCGACACTAGTTTAAAGGATTTTTAAGACAAAGAAAATGAGGTGAACTGTCTGGTAGCCCAGTCGTTGTGTGAGGTGAGTGGAGGGACTCTACCCGACTGATTGGACCAGACCAGAATTGCGGGGGCAGCTGCCCTCCGGAGTATTTTCCCTCCCAATGGTTTTGAGAGGGTGGGCGAAGAATCAGCTCTCCTCTTCTTTCCAAAATAGATTTCGTGATAACCGTCTATGCTCATTTATTTCTCTTTCCATGAACGGCGTCCCAAACCGTATGCCCGCGCTGCTGCGGATCCGTGCGTGCTTCCAGAGGACTCGCGTCGCCGGGTACGATCCTACCGCATGCACGCGCCTCCCTGCACACGCACACGTACGCACATTTAGAGTGTCTGCAGGAGGAGTGTCCTGCTCACCCGCCCTGCGTTTAAGAAGGGATGCTGCCGGGTTACCAAATTCAAACGTAAGTGATAATTTTCCTCTCCACCAGCAAAGAAAGCGGACTACAAAAGTCCCTTTGTATCACAGCAGCTCATTTAATATTATTTATGCATTTTGTGCAAGGAATTGTGGGATTTCTCCCCACGGTAAACAATATGGAAATGTTAAAAATAGCAGTCTTCCAGCGTGTGTCCACAAATACGCACCAGGGTGACCTGGCCAGGCTGTCGTAGGTTTCCCCGGATTCCTGAACCAAGAAGAGACAGGCGAAACGCGAGCGCGCGCAGAGGACTTGTTGGGGGGGGGGTGTCTTTCTGGGTCGGGGGTTTCTGCGCCAGGAGCCAGAGAACGCGGCCACTTTAAGGGGGGGAGGGAGGAGGTGGCGGGGGAGGGGCAGCAGGCGGCTCCTGTCACCCTGCGGCCGCCGGCGTGTCACGTGGGTGCGTGGCGCTGCGGCCATTGGCCCGAGGCACGTGTCCAGGAGACCGGCCCGCGACGTCACTCGAGGGGGCTCTGTTAAAAATAAGAACAAAAATCCAGAGTGAAAGTGTCTCAGGTTGCGCTAAGTGGCCTGGAAAWTTCCTAAGCCCGCGCGGAGGCCGAGGCGGCGAGGGCGCGCAGACGGCGAGGGAGCGCGGGAGGCCCAGCCCGGCTTGGCCCGGCCCGCGCCTCCCGCCCCTCACCCATGCGACTCGGGCCGCGGAGCTCGGCGGGGTTCGGCGGGGGCGCAGCCGCACGCCGGTGGGGCGCCCCGGCCCGCAGCGGGGCGGCGGCCGTGTGGAGGGGGCTCCGAGGCCGGCCGAGCGCAGCGCGGGCCCGCGGGCCTCCATGTGCGTGCTGGCGGCGGCGGGCGCGTTAAGCGCTCGCGCCGCGCACCCTCGAGGGCCGGCCGGGGCGCGCGGGTGGAGACGGCCCGGCGGCGGCTGCAGCCGGAGCTGGCCCTGGCGGGCGTGAGTGCGGGGGAGCGTGCTGCCTGCATGAGCGCAGCTCTAGCCCGGGGCGGCCCAGGCGGCGGCGCCGGAGCCCAAAGCAGCTGGACGTGTGGAGGAGCGCGGAGCCGGATCCCCACAGGACGATTGTGACTCTCTGGAACGGGGTGCTCTGCAAAGACAAGGACCTGCTTCTTTTGAATCTCCCGGCATCCTGGCGAGAGGAACACTCTTGGTATTTTCTAACCCAACTCGTGGATTCGAACGTGGCTCCTCTCCGAGCGCAGCCGCTGATTCCTAAGACCCTAGCCCTGGCTGTGGCCGCCGCGCACACCCTCAGAAGACTCGTTGGGGCAGGAGCACTAGGGTCTCTCAGTGCGCCGCGGGAGGGCCGAAGGTTTCTTTGGAGGAGGGTCCCAGGAGAGCCTATTTGGGATTTACGGTGAAGCATGGAGGAGAATGATCCCAAGCCCAGCGAAGCGGCGGCGGCGGCGGCGGAGGGGCAGCGGCAGCCGGAGTCCAGCCCTAGCGGCGGCTCAGGCGGCGGCGGTAGCAGCCCCAGCGACTCCGATACCGGCCGCCGGCGGGCTCTGATGTTGCCCGCGGTCTTGCAGGCGCCAGGCAATCACCAGCACCCGCACCGCATCACCAACTTCTTCATCGACAATATCCTGCGGCCAGAGTTCGGCCGGCGAAAGGATGCGGGGACGAGCTGCGTGGGCGTGGGCGGAGGAAGAGTCGGCGGATCCGGCAACGAAGGCGGCGCGGGAGGCGCGGAGGGAGTCGGAGGCTCGGGCGGCGCAGAGCAGCTCCTGGGAACCGGCACCAGGGAGTCCCGGCAAAACCCGCCCTGCGCGCCGGGCGCCGGAGGGCCGCTACCCACTAGTGGCGGCGACTCCCCGGGAGATGGAGAAGGCGGCTCCAAGACGCTCTCGCTGCAAGGTGGCGCCAAGAAAAGCGGCGACCCCGGAGGCTCCCTGGACGGGGCGCTAAAGTCCCGAGGCTTAGGCGGCGGCGACCTGTCGGTGAGCTCAGACTCGGACAGCTCTCAGGCCAGCGCCAACCTGGGCACGCAGCCCATGCTCTGGCCGGCCTGGGTCTACTGCACGCGCTACTCCGACCGGCCTTCTTCAGGTGAGCCCGTGAGACTCGGTGCCCCAGCCGGTCCTGGGGGAGACCAGCGGGATGCAGGGGCGGCCCTGGCGAGGAAACTTACCCTCCTCTCCATACACATGCCCAGCGACACGGTTCAGGCTGGCCTGGGCAGCGGCCAGGCAGCGGGAACAGGCTTGATTMCAAATAGACTCCCTTAGGATGGCAGAAGCTAAAGAGGCCTTCTGTTTTTCTTCCCACCCCCTCTCTAGACCCCCAGCCCCCGCAAATCCAAGTTGCCCCGTGTTCCCCCAATTTGATGGGAACAGGGTAGCTGGAAGACAGGCCCAGAGGGCCGCACTCTCARCCCCTTCCCCCAGGTTCCAACTCGGTCCCAATCAGGACGTCCCAGTTACCCCCAGTTACCCCAGGTGTAGTCACAGAAGAAAGGGCTCCYCCTAATTCGGTGCCTTCTGCCTAGGCTGACCAGGGGAGAGGAAGAAGGACAAGCTGAGGGAGGGATGAAAACAGGGGCTCCCTCTCCCCTTTGCTGGCCCTTATTTGCCATCTGCCTTCCCACACAGAGCAGGGATACACAACTGTCCCCAACTATGTGGCATCTGTGATTGTCTCAAAGTGGGGACCTTCTCAGAGGGTTTCCTGGCTCTGCCAGGAGTGGGAAAGACACAACGTTAGGGGGTGTGCAGAGGTATGGGATATAGTTTTCATAGAGCCGTTTGATTTAAAAAAGCTAAGTCCTTTTCCTTGTAGAAATCATTAGCTGCATTGCATGCGGGTATTGGGCTGGGAAGTACCTTCAGGAGAGGGCTCCATTTGTCCCCAGCTGGCAGCAGAACTGCTCTGCCCCCAACCCTCAACTATTTTGCAGGAGTCCTTTATCCAAATCTCAGGAACACTTGGTCACCCTTCAGCTCTTTCCTGCAGAAATGTGTATGTGTCTGGTTTTTTGATTAAATCCAAATTTCTCCAGCTAGACCTGAAATTTGCTCCATTGTTCTCGCCTCCCTCCTTTGTTAATATTTAATTAACATATAGGCTCACAATGTCGGTCGGCCAGGAGCCGGCCCGGGCTTTGTGCAACGCCCGCGCAGGATCCCTGCCGGGCCAGGCCTGGGCGGCCAGCGGAGCGACCCCAATCGCTGGCTTTGCTGGGCTTGAACAATCCCGCCTGCCTTCCCACCCTTCCTGGAGCGTTTCTGTTCCTGGGCGCTTAAAAAGAAAGGACTGAGAGGGGGCTTTTGCAGAGGTTTGGTTCTATTTCCAGGAATCCGTGTTTGCCTTTTGAAAGAAAAATCAAGACAGAAAAGGGAACTAAAAATTGTGATTTTTTAAGGAGGTTTTCTTTCCACAAAACACTGTCTTTTCGAGACTGTTTTGTGTAGGCGACAATCGCAACTCGACCAGAGGAGTTTGGGGGACAGGAAGTGTGCTTTGGGAGGTGAGAGGAGAAACGGAACCCCAGAACTCGATCCAGGAAAGCGATGCTGGGTCGGTGGAGGCGGCGCGGGGTCTCCCGAGGCGCTCCTGCAGTCTCCCATTCTTCTCGCCCCTTCACGGGCCCTTCGGGCTGGGCTTTCCTCCCTGAATCCGCACCCGCATCAAAGCCAGAGCAGAGCCCTCGCCYGCCCTCCAGGAAAGTGGGACAGTGATGGGCAGATGGTGCGGGTGTGGGTGTGTTTTACAACTAACTGGGAGTTGGTGAACCGCCCTYGGCTTCCCTCTTCTGCCCAGAGTCCCCTCTTTGGGTTTTGCCTCCTGGAGAGAGTGCATGGCTCCCATGGCAGAGGGAGTTCTTCTGCCCACCTTGAGTTCCCAGCTGGTGCCTGACTGGGGTGGGCCCTGCTTGCCCTGTACACCCTCCAACTCTGCCGAGGTGCAGTCCTGGCYGCCTCCTAGACTGTGCCTCTGCTGCACAGTCGGGGCACTTCCTGGCCCTGAGCAGAGCYGGGGCTGCCCTCTCCAGCCTCTTCCTGCAAAGGAAGGGGTCTCCAAAGTTGACGCCTCACAGACGGAGGAACCCCCGAAGGCCACCACTTCCACCAGTGGCCTAGCCGACCTTGCCCTCCCCAGGAACCTCCTGAGCTGAGCTTCAGCTGCTTCCCTTTGCTCCTGTCACCCTCTACCTCCAGTGGCCAGGTCTGGGGACCTTGCCTCYACCCACCACCCCTCCCTAAAGGGCGACAACTCTGTGGGAGGAATGGGTGGGATCGGGTCAGAAGTTGGAACCTGCTCAAGGTCAGCTGTGCCCTTGTACCCGGGCCTGAATGGATGAAGACGACAGGTCGTCATGGTGGTTAGCACCCAGGCAGAGGCCAGGCGCGCTCTCCTGGACAGGGCACTGGGGAGAACTGCAGTGGATGAYGAAGGAGCTGCCAGGGCCTCGGTGTTCCTTTCCCTCCCAAGAAAGCATGCGCTGGTCCCTATGGTCCTGTAAGGGGAGAGTGGCATAGGGGGCTCCTCCTGTTCTCAGGAGCATCCTGCCCCTGGCACCCTGTGAGGTGTTCCCCTTTTTCTCTGCATGCCTCACCCTCTTTTCTCAATCTTAACCCCTCATACCTGCCCCACCCTTTATTCCTGGTCTGAGATTCTGAAAGGACTGGGGGTTGGCGGGGGGGGGGGGGGGGGGGGGGGGGGGGGGGGGGGGGGGGGGGGAGACAGTTTGGGCTTTTTGCTTTCCTCTGGAAGCCTCAGTTTGTGATGGCCTTTCCTTCCCACCCCACACCCACACCTGCCTCCTCCCTGCAGAGGTCCCTCGCTGCCTGTACTCTGGCTGCTCAGCCTTGAGGCCCTGGGCCAGTCACTTCCTTTCCTCTGGGGATTCTTTGGGCCCTCTCCTGGGCTGCTTGGGTGTTTTACTGCTGGGTGAGGACATAGGTCGCTACCGACTGACCATAACCTCTTCTCTCTGTCCTGCAAACCTACCCAGGTCCCAGGTCTCGAAAACCAAAGAAGAAGAACCCCAACAAAGAGGACAAGCGGCCCAGGACGGCCTTCACGGCTGAGCAGCTGCAGAGGCTCAAGGCGGAGTTCCAGACCAACAGGTACCTGACGGAGCAGCGGCGCCAGAGCCTGGCGCAGGAACTCAGCCTCAACGAGTCTCAGATCAAGATCTGGTTCCAGAACAAGCGCGCCAAGATCAAGAAGGCCACGGGCAACAAGAACACACTGGCCGTGCACCTCATGGCCCAGGGGCTGTACAACCACTCCACAGCGGCTAAGGAGGGCAAGTCGGACAGCGAGTAGGGTGGCGGGCGGCGCCAGGGCAGGTCTCAGGCCGCAAAAAACAATGCAATAATTTAAAATCCTAAATAAAGGGCCAGTGTATAAAGATTATACCAGCATTAATAGTAAAAATATCGTGTATTAGGTATGGTAYTGCAATATTCTATGTATATATAATTTACAGGTGGTGTAAAATCCCAAATATCTGACTATAAAATATTTTTTGAGTTTTTTGTGTTTACGAGATTATGCTAATTTTATGATTTTTTTTTTTTTTTTGCAAAGGGGGCTGCTTAGGGCTTCATCTTTTTTAATCCCCTAAGCTCCATTATGGGACATCAGACACTTTTATTAATTATTATTATTTCAAAAGAAGAAGAAATTAAAACAACTTGCTGAAGTCCAAAGATTTTTATTGCTGCATTTCACACGACTGTGAACCGAATAAATAGCTCCTATTTGGTCTATGAGTTCTGCCACTTTGTTTGTGTTGGCTTGATGAGGCCCCAAACTCCGAGCCTGGGTCAGCACCTCAGGCCCTCTCCTCTCCTGGCTGGGAGAGGAGATGCCCAGGGTCTTTGGACAGTTCTAGGTCTCAGCCAAGAGAATCTGCCCCTCGGTGACAGGAGGGCCCGCTCCCAGCCTGGCGGCAGCCTCCCAGGGTGCCTCTCCTCACCSGCCTCCTGAGGTCTCTCTCCCTGCCTCCTCTGAGGCACAACGCTCTCGCTCACCTCAGTGCGTACATRTACTTCTGTCTGCGTCTGTGTTGCTGTCCTGTCTGTCCCTTGTCCCACCGCAACCCTGTGGCAAGTCTCAGTGCCAACTCTCCAGCCCCAGGCCCTCAGTGAAGCTTCCCGCGGCATTGGCAAGTCCCGGCCCTGAAACCAGACCAGGTCCGTGCGGAYGGACGGACGCGCGGCCAGGGAGCTGGCTGCCTTCCTGTGCTTTTTCTTTCCTCTTTTTTCTTTTCCGTTTTTCTTTGGAGTGCCCACTTTGGCTAGAGTGAACATTTTTCCAAGATAGGTGGGTGGGTGTGTGTACATATTTGTGTCTGCATGTGTCTGCACACACCAGGCATGTGTAGGGCCGGTGGTTTGGGAACCTGTGGCTATGCTGGCTTTCAAAGGAACTAAGAACATTCCAGGATCTAGAGGAAGGAGGAAAGTGTGTAAATAATCATTCCCTATCATGTTTTGTCTTTTTTTTTTTAAAAGAAAATATACATTTTATTTTTTGAAGGTGTGGTACAGTGTAAATTAAATATATTCAATATATTCCCCACCAGGCACATATATATATATATATATATATAAACAAACACATTATATATAAGTCCACACTGTCTTCTGTTTGTTTTAGGAAAAGGTGTCCAAATGTCCATCGGGCCAGGAGGGACAGCCCAGGGTTGTGCACATGGCCAAGCTGGGGTCAGGCTGCCTCCCTGAGGACTAGGGGTGGACTCCTCTCTTTGCCTTAAGCCTCTTTATTTCACTGCGACAATAGTTTCATTTTGTACATAATAGTGTAAACCTTTTTGAAAAGGAAACTATAAAAACAAGAGTTGTAATTTAAAATTCTGTGAATAACCATCTGCTGCTTAGGAAACTCAATGAGATGACTTGCCTTTTTAAGCAGGAAGTAATTTTTTTTTTAGTTTATAAAATGTGCATTTTACAGTTTCAGTATCAAATATTTATAATCTTATAAGAAATGAATGTTTCTATTTACAACTGTGGTTATCAAAATTGTGAACATTTCCACCCCCGCATTTTTGTGTGTTTAAATTCTTGAAAGTTACATTAAATAAAGAGAAACACCTCTTTATTATAAAGTATTGGTGGTYCAAGCTGGAATGACGCTTTTTCTAAGTGTGTTCTGAATTAAGGGGAAGGGCCCTGGGCTACTTCCCAAAAGCTCAGGTGCTCCTGACCTTTGCTCCAGGCGGAGTGGGTTCAGGGCTTATTGCAATAGCATCATTATTTTTTAATGACGTTTTTAATACCTCACATGTGAGCACAGAACCATGAGAATCATGTCCACATTTCATCACAAGGAAGAGTTGCTGGAAAATATAACTGCTGTTCCATCGACTGAATTTTTTCAATCCTGCAAAGTTCAACAGGTTCTGAGTTCCTCCTCTGGCTGCTCAATGGCAGGACTGAAGCGCCTGCGTGTGTGTGCAGGAAGGACTGACGATCCACGTGATACAGAGGCTCCTCAGTGCCATTTTTGTTTTCCTTTTTTTTCCTCCCTAAAGCAAATGAGGTTATGTACATCATAAGCAGATTCRGGGAAAGGACTGCTTTCCGGTGCTGACCCTCAGCCTGGAGGGAGGTGTTCCAAGTGATCTGAGGGCCAGTGGTTCAAGGCCCCACCTGCTGTATTACCAAACTTCTTGGCTTGAGAAAAAAAAAGTTTTCTTCTCCCAGTAAGAGAAACTCAGAGGCCCTCGAGGATCAGCTGTTGCCAAGGGCGACCTTTTAGGCGTTTTTTATTTGGCGCCGGCCGGTAGGCCACTGAGCTCCCCAGGCCGACACTGGGCTGCAGCCAGCCGGGCGGCGCCGTTGGAAGAGGCTTGCGGGYGGTAGCAGGCGGCTCCTGGGACAGGCACAGATGCGTCGAGGGAGAGAGCAGGGGCCCACCGCCAAGGCTGAGAATCCTGGCTACTCCAGCCTCAGGAGTACGCCAGGGTCACCACCCAGGGGCCAGAGCATGTAGGACCCTACCCGAGACCCTGACTTCTGCATGTTTAGGTTAAAGACAAAAGCACCAGCAGATTTCTCTTGCCCTCTSGGCCTCCGTCTCATTTTAATAAAAAGATGAAATAGTAGCACGAAGCCATCTTTTTATTTTAATTTGTTTTAAAATCATAACACCGGTGAGTCGCGATGTACAGCTTTGTGGGCGTAACGAGTTCCCCGGTTCCCAGAGGACTTCATGCAAACAGGCTCACCGTGACATGGGAAGTTTTCTTTCATGGCTMTGATAGGGGACCTGAACTGAATGAGTCCTCAAATTCTTGAAAYGCTGAGTGGGATTCTCTGCTCCGATGGGTTACTTTTAAATTTCAACAGTGTGTGACCTAARCCCTCCTGGAGAACCCTGCTGGGCCACCATCAGCTCCCCTGGGGCTTTGCGACCAGCATCCAGCCTGCAGGGGCAGGGGATGAGGCTCCTTCCTGAGGTCCTGCAGGCTTGGGTTCCGCCCAGGCCTCCAGGAGTGCTTGGGTCTGGATCCAGAATGCATACTTGAGCATCTGCGGAGCCCAGCTACTGGGGAGTTTCAGGAGGCGGGTTTCCAAGTGTGTGAAAACAAAAGCACCTTCAAGTAGTCCTTGCTCCTTTGAACCGAAGGGCTGCCTGCCTGGGGCCTGGCTGGGTCCCGACCAGGCCCAGGCAGAACTGAGTTCACAGCCCTCCTTAACTCAGCAGAGACTAGGCTGGAGCCTGGGGACCTAGCCCAGGAAGATGGGCGGTGGTTGCCCAGGCCTGTTAGAGCAGGCGCCCTGGGACGGTGCCACCCAGAGGTCGGGCAGGGCTCCTTGGCACTCAGATGCCCTTTCAGTAGGTCTGACCCCTCAGGCTGGAGTTAGGATCCGGGTTCAATTTGGCCATGGCCTTCTGGAGTGGACCAGTCTTGCACTTTCTCCAAAGCAGGGGAGGGAAAGAGGGGCGATCTCAGCTTGCTCAGCAAGAGGGCTCTAACTCTTTGCCTCCATTGAGTGAAAAATGCGCCACGACGGGAGTTCAGATCGCACGACACAGGTGTGCCAGGGCTCACCAAGGTGTGCCAGGCGACAGCAAACACCCAGACACTRGGTACACCGAGGGTGGCCTGGGAGGCCGCTTTTTTTTTTTTTTTTTTTTCTGTCTCTCGCGGGTTTCATATCCGACTTCTTGGTCTCTACTCTCCTAGGCAGTTCTTCAAGCGCCCCTGGGAGGGCTCCGGCTCCACCGAATACTGCAGCCTGCCGGATGGGGCCGCCGGGAGCTGGGAGGTTGATAGCGACTGACCACAAGGAGCCTCGGCGAAATTCCGAAGCACGCCCGCCAGGAGGGGCAGAAATCACCCTGGGGACCGATTTTTCCCAACCCGACGCCCCCTAGGCACGCTAGACTCACCCCGCAACCGCAACCCGCGGGGCCCTGGGAGCGGGCAGCCCCTCTCTGCAAATCTCGGTGTCACCTCAGAGGGGGCCTAACTCTGTCTAGACCTCGAAGGAAGGAAGGCCACAGCGAGGTGGGAACGCGAAGCCGCCAGCGAGGTGGGAACGCGAAGCCGCCAGCACGGTGCTCGTGCGCACCGCGAGCGGCCACGTTCTTATGGAGGATCTCAGATTCCTCATTAGACTTCTGCTGCCTGGCCGCGGAAAAGCGAAGTCCATTCCTGAGACCGCTTGAAATGTAATAATATTCATTAAAGGAGCTCCTAATTATGCGATTTAATCAAGCGTGGTGGGCACACGCTCCTGGCTCTACTCGGGGAGGAAAACGATGATGGTGTTATGATTATTGTTGTTGTTGGTAACGGCCTCGTGCTGGCCGCGGGGATGACAGCCAGCTCTTCGGCTGGGGCCCAGTCCCCTCAGAGGAATTCGGGGAGAGCTCCACGAGGCTTCTCAGAAAGGGTCTGCAGGCGCGGGGAACAGGTGAGCCCAGGCCTAGGCCTGCGCCAGGCCCCAGCAGCTCCGGGGAGGGGAGGGCTTTCCACCGAGTTTCAGGACCCTCTGTGCCCGGGGCCGCGGCGGGGCTTTCTGGGAAGGCGGAACGTTAGGTCCGGAGCCCGGGACCCGCCCATCGGCCGTCCCGCCCCCTCCTGCGCCGACTCTGCGCACGGCCGGGAGCAGAAACAAAGAGGCTCCGAGACGTGTCTCCCAGGCTGCCTTTTCACCCGCAGCCTGGAAGGCGTCCCAGAGAGGCCCCGGCCCCAGCCTCCCTGAGCCCGGGGGCGAGAGGAGCTGCAGACCCAGGGGGCCTGCGTGGCCCCGGCCCGCGTTCCCCGCCGTGGAGGGGGCTGGGTGGGAACGCAGGCGGGAGGGACCCCGTCCTAGCCGAGGGTCCTCGTGGG